GGAGGAGGAGGAGGAGGAGAGGAGAGGAGAGGAGAGGAGAGGAGAGGAGAGGAGAGGAGAGGAGAGGAGAGGAGAGGAGAGGAGAGGAGAGGAGAGGAGAGGAGAGGAGAGAGAGACTAGTCTTTTACAAGGATACATCATGCTAACAGTATTACTGCCTGTTGCTCTTGAGTTAAAATACCCTAAAAAGTTCTTATTTCCCAAGATTGTTGCTTTGATAAAAGCAACTTCCCAACACATGAACCTCACTGGGACATTGAGAGTCTATCAGTCTGTATCATTGCCTAGCCTTGAGCTGCTCACCAAATGCAAAAAGAATATATTTTAAGGATTGACCTAAGTCCACAAAGATCATGGAACTTGGTATGTTTCGAAGACCTCTCCTCAGAAAGAACTATATTTCCTTCTGTCTGCTTGTGGGTGGAAGTTTAAGTCCCTACATCATCTCAACCCATCTAAGAACAATATTTGACCATCCTTATAGCTCTACTAAGGCACAGAGAAGAGAAAGTTTTATTTACAGAGCAGAAAATTCATCCAAAATAAAGTATTTCAGACAGCAGAGAATACTAATATTCAGACCCTTTTACACTGAACTAGCTCTGTGTATCTTCATCTAGCTCTGTATCTTCATCTGTTGACATCAACTTAATTTTATCTGTACTTTCTGCATCACTAAGAAGTCCCCAGGGGCTGATAGGAAATTCTGAGTGCTTCTCTGTGGTCGTTGCTAGGAAACAGCATCCTTGGTATCGGGAGTGCTGAGGCTGAAACGCCGTGTGAAGTCACCGGTTCATAAAGGAAAACCTTTGGTAAATAGATTGTTTAGGCGTGAGTAAATTGATGTTCTCTCTCTGTGGCAAAATGTTCTCGTGTAACCTTTGAATAATAGTGTGCTTCAAGGCCTCTAGTCTTCGCTTGCATCCAGCTGCCATTATTGCTCCCATGAGAGCTCCAGCATCTCTATAAATGAGAGTTCATGGTCTCTTTTCTCCCCCAAATCATATGTAATTATCTCAGTGCCTACAGCACTGTGAGTAATGAGTTTTAGTTAAACAAAGTGAAATGAGCTTGGAAATAAAGACCCAAACCACTGACTACGCGAGTTGTTGAATGCAGTAGTTCCTCCTCATCCACAAGGAGGTATGTTTTAAGAAGTCCAGCAGACGGATAACCAAAGCACTGCATACGCCAGCCCCATGCAGACTGTGCCTTTCCTTTCCATACACAGCTAGGACATGGACTAGACAAGAGAAAAATAAACAATGACCACAATAAAACAGAAACAATTTGAAGTAAAACATATACAATGACAATTATAATGAACTGTAATCAGGCCTAGGTGAATATAGTCTCGCTATCAAGAAAGGTTACTTGACCGTGACCCTGCAGTACTGAGGCATTTGATCAGATAACAGACATGACTACCATAGAGCAATGTATCAGAAGCATAAACGGCTCAGCAAGGATGTGCTGGACCAAGAGGTCTCTGGCATCATAGGTGGGCTAGAGCATGAGAGCATGGGACTTCATAGCACTGTTAAGAGTGGTGTGCAGTTTCAGTCTCATGAAATGTTCATGTTTAGAATTTTCCATTTACTATTCCCAGACCATGGTTAACTGGGCCAGCTAGACTTTGGGAAGGGAAATATTGCATAAGAGAGAACAAACGTGAATATTAAAATCTGCTTTGGCTGGTTGTCACACTCCAGTTTTATTTAGTGTTATGCTACTGCCAAGAAGTTGGAGCTCACAGAGCTGCCAGTTTGGCTCACCCACTCCCTCTCCTCTCTTAACCCAAACTAGAAAACTGTCTGTGACTCTCACAATTCAAACTGGTGCTTACATTTTTGCCCTAGATTCTGACAACTGAAACAGCATCTGGAGGTTGAAATCTATCGCCTTGTTAATTTAGCAAGCCTAGAACAAGATAGGAGCTTTTTGATTCCTGGATGTGGAAATTATTTATGTGTTTATCTGTTCATCTCTCCATGTGTCTGTCTGTCACTTATCTATCTATTCCTCTATTCACCTATCATGAATTTATTAATCCTTCCATCATATATATATATCTCCATCAATCACCAACCTATCTGTTCATTATCCATTATCTATGCATTCATCACCCATCTACTCTCCATCCACCATCTATCTATCCACTCATCATCTGTCTACCCATCCATCCATAATTCAACATCTATCCATTCATCACCAATCTATCCATCCATCATGTATCTATCCTTCTGTCCATCATGTATCTATCCTTCTGT